GGGGGTTGGACTGGATGATCTCCTGAGGTCCCTTCCAACCTCAGCAGGGGCTGGACCATGGATCTGACTTGGTGGGCAACCTGCTTTGCTGTGTGAAGATGTTACTTGCTCTTTGTAGTATTTATCCCTGGAAAAAAAAAAATCCTGATCTTGTGTGGAGTAAGTGATTCTCAGGGCTGTGAACTGAGTCAGGCCCAAGGTGGCTCTGGCTCTGTGGTGCCTGGTGGGATGCCTGGAGAAGAGCAGAAGAAACTCACGATGAACTCTCAGGCTCCAGTGAGCAGCTGCTTGGGTGGTATCTGTTTGACAGTGATTCTTTTCCTCCCTAAACTCGTCCAGTGCTTTCTGAACCCCTGTGAACTCTTTTCCTCCACAGTACGAGCTCCAAGGATGTGTTGTGTGAAGAACTACCTCCTACCTAACCTCCTCTTAAACTCTCTTTTCAGTTTTGCATTACAAATAGTCAGTAATCACAACTTTCTCTGCTCTATATTCTCTTTCCTTGGTTATCTTTGTGCTGAGGAGTTTCCTTAGGAAGTGTCCAAGGGGAAAAGCTGTTACCCTTGTTTTTCTGTGTTCTCCAGCTCCCATAATCATCTTCAGGTGAACATTAACATCGCTTAATGGAGTGTAACAAGCACCACCTGTCCTTCTGCTTAAAGATTGTCTCATAGATGTGAAATAATTTGGGTTGTTTTCCTGCAGTGCTGACAGGCTTGATGTTGGAGAGCAGTTGTGAGCCCAGCAACCTGTGACTGTGGGAGGAAACCAAACCAAAGCAAACGTAGCTGCTTGTCACCTTGTGGGTAGACCACGTTTTTAAATGCACTGGAGCTCGCTTGCTTCAGTCTGGAGGGGAGGGGGACAAGGCAGGGGAGAGCTGTTTGCAAACCCCAATTCCTTCAGCAGTAGTGAAAGAGGGTTTACTAGTCTGGGTGCTCTTCACCTCCCTCTTCCCAACAGATTTTCTACCAAAATCAGCTGGATGTGAATCCTGTTGTTTCAATTTCTGAGCCGTGTCCAGATGAGGTTGGGAGTGGTGAGTGGGGAACAAGCAGCGTGTGAACACTGGGACATGGTGAGTGCAGACAAGGGAAGTTGTCATCTCAAAAAAACCCCCAAAACCATAGCAGCAGGTAAAGGCAACAAGTTTTCTTTGTTCTGAAAGCAGGTTGTGCTTGGAGAGGGGGTGAAGGAGAAGTGAGCCGTGCAGAGCAGCACCGGGGCTTGCCCGTGCCCAGGGTGGGGGTGCAGCAGTGCCAGCCCGGGGCCAGGAGGGACTGAAAGCAGCAGATCTGTTTGGGGAGCTGCTGCCCGGTGATTGATGCCCTTTTGTTGAGTTACTGGTCAGGAGAAGTGAAGGAGAAGAGCTTATCTGAGAACTTGTGTCTGATGGTGAGAGGCTTTGGCTGGTGGTTCTCCCTCCCCCTTCAGCGGCACCATGAACTCTCTCGGGTTTTCTCGAGCACGCTTGGCTGGGTGCTCTGCCCCGAAGCAGGGTCCTTTGAGACCTCTCACTGTTCTGCTTCCTGGGGCCTCTTGTCAAACTCATCCTTTGCCTTCTGGTCCCTTCAGCTCCCAGAATACCTCAGTGCTCCCAGGGGGTTGTGGCCAGTAGGACCAGGGCAGTTCTCGACCCCTGCACTGGGCACTGGTGAGGCTGCAGCTCGAGTGCTGGGTTCAGTGTTGGTCCCCTGAGTCCAAGAAGGACATGGAGGTGCTGGAGTGTGTCCAGAGAAGGGAACGGAGCTGGGGAAGGGTCTGGAGCACAAGTGTGCTGAGTTTCTTTGCTGCAAGGGTTCTGAGGCATTGGAAGGGGTTGCCCAGGGCAGTGGTGGAGTCCCCATCCCTGGAGGGATTGAAGAGTCGTGTAGACACAGTGCTGAGGGACATGGGTTAGTCATAGGGGACTGGTCAGTGTTGGGTTCATGGTTGGACTCGATGAGCTTAAAGGGCTTTTCCAATCCAGGCCTTTCTGTGTGGTTATTCTTTTTCCCCTTCAATGTTGAGCTCAAACATGTGGGAGGGTTGGGAGATGTTGCTGGCCAAGCCTGAATCTGTCAAGCTCAGACTAACAAGCGAGGCCCGATGTGGTGGGGGAGCGATTGTATCTCAGCTTCAGAGCCTGGTTAACAGCTTTGTGTTCCTCCACCACCTCTCCCACTGCTGCTGTGGTCACTTGTGCATCAGTTCACATGGAAGCAGAAGCTCTCCAGGGCAGATCTCAGTCAGTGCTGGAGGGGTGGAAGGTCTGGCTGGGCATGGCCTGTGTTCAGTCTTTCTGCTCGTGGTCTTTGGGTCCTGAAGCTAAAGCACTGCTGCTCTGCTGCTGCACCTATTTCTAGAGAGGTCTCCAAGCTACTTGGTTGCTTTAAAATAGGTGTGTGATCTTCCCAGCCAGAATGCAGATGTTTCCAGACACAAAACAAGGCAGGCAGGATGAGGGCAGCCAAGTGCAAAGTGAAAAATAAGATTTTGGGGGGTTTTTTGCAGGGTCAAAAGTCTTCCCAAGTCTTTTCTAAGCAGAAAAGAGTTTTACAGGTGGACTGGACCAGCTGAGCAGATGTCACAGCTGTGATCTGGCATGTGATTTCACATGTTAAATCTTGGGTCTGTCAGGAGATTAATGTGATGATACTTGAGCAGATTGTGTCCCTTTATATGACAGCAGACACGTTCTTCCAGCTCTGGAGACTTCACAGAAGTCTGACCTTCCGGCACTTTCGTGCTGTAACCTGTCCAGTTTGATACCTGTACAAGAATGTTGGGCTTCTAGAAATGGTGTGTTGATGAGGAAAATCAGTTTGTAAGTGTTTGAGAAGTGGCAATGATGTGATTTTACAGAAGTCTTGGGACAGCACACGCTGAGTGAGTATCTCTAGACCATTAAAAGAGGATATTTAAATGAGCTGGATGAGGGACCTTTTACAAGGGCAGGGAGTGACAGGACAAGGGGTGATGGCTTGAAAGTGGCAGAGGGGAGATGGAGATGAGATGTGAGGAAGGAATTGTTTGGTGTGAGGGTGGTGAGCCAGTGTCCCAGGTTGGCCAGAGAAGCTGTGGCTGCTCCTCCCTGGAAGTGTTCTCGGCCAGGTTGGATGAGGCTTTGAGCAACCTGGTCTAGTGGAAGGTGTCCCTGCTGCTGGCAGGGGGGGTGGGGCCGGATGAGCTTTAAGGTCCTTCCAACCCAAACCAGTCTGGGATTCTGTGATGTGTGTGGTGTGACTCTAAGCAAGAGGCAGTTTTTGTTCTTCAGTTTGATAAAAATCAGAGCAAAGGCCTCACCCCGAGCAGTCATGTGTTAGGGGCGGTGGGCTTGGTCTGTGTGAGCTGCTGTTAACACAGCTGTGAGACAGCTACTTCCTTTCTGAACTGGAGCTGACTGGCCACAGGCAGATTTTTCAATAACAAGCAAGAAAAAACTGAAGTGTGGGTTGAAGAGCAAAAAAAAAAAAAAGTACTAATAGCTAAAAATCTAGGTGGAAACAAGGTGGGCACAATTCATCATGGGATCACTGACTGTGGGACACCATGGAGTTGCAGTGAGGAAAACCTCCTTGCAGAGGTTATTCTAGTCTTGGGGTCGCTCTGAACAAACCCTGAAAGGGGAAATGAGAGAAGCTTTCTGATAACAGGATCCCAGCAAAGTATTGAACAAGCTTATGGCTTATGTTTTTCTGCCAAATAACGTGACTCTGATTCTGGCAGTGTTTTTATTTCCAGGTGTTTGAAGCCATGGCTATCCTGTTCGCTGTCGTGGCGAGAGGAACAACCATCCTTGCCAAACATGCCTGGTGTGGAGGAAACTTCCTGGAGGTGACAGAGCAGATCCTGGCAAAAATACCATCTGAAAACAACAAACTGACCTATTCACATGGGAAGTGAGTGGTGTTTCTTCTCTGGGTGTGGGAGGAGAGCCTGGTGAACGTGCAGGAGGACAGGAATAAATGGAGTGCAGCCACGTCCACACATACAAAACTGAGTTTTCTATTTATATACAACTCCAAAGTGAGTTGAAGAGTGCTCAGCTGTGGATATCAATCTGTTGGAGTCACAGAATCATGGAATCACAGCCTGGTTTGGGTTGGAAAGGACCTTAAAGATCATCCAGTTCCAACCCCCCTGCTGTGGACATGGTTGCCAACCACTAGACAAGGTTGCCCAAAGCCTCACCCAACCTGGCCTCCAATGCCTCCAGGAATGGGGCATCCACAGCTTCTCTGGGCAACCTGGGCCAGTGTCTCACCACTCTTGGGGTGAAAAATTCCCTCCTCACATCCAACCTGAATCTCCCCTCTCTCAGTTTAAAACCATTTCCCCTTGTCCTGTCATTATCTGCCCATGGAAAAAGTCTCTCTGCTATTTGGCTTGTGGAGTCTTTTGCTGGCTTTTCTGAGGCCTGAAGGTGGCTTTAGTGAAGATGTCACCCTTCCCAGATCACTTGGAGATCCTGCTTGCTTTAAGATAAGTCATTCTGGCAGATGTTGGAGAGTCATCCTGAGCTAGCACGAATCCAGTCTGTGGGACTATATTTCCAGCCCACTCCTAAATCTTATTTCATTGTCTTCTTGTTTATAAGAATACAGAACCTGAGCTGTGCCCTTGGAGCTGTGCAAGGCACCTGCTGTGCAGCATGTGCATGAATTTGCTTCTATTCTGGACTTTGTACGAGGGTCCACATGCTTCCTGGGGGAGCTTTTGGGAATACACAAATGCCAAAGTGAAAGGATACACAGAGTTCTTAATTAGGAAAAAGGAAAAAAAGGTGTTTGTGTTGCTTTTTTGCAACTCTGTTCCTATTTTGTCCCGTACTTATCAGATGAATCCATCACCTGCTGGAGCATCAAATGGTGACGTAATAAAAAAGCAACAGCTGAAGCCGATGAGTTGAACTAGAACGTTCTGATCAGTTCTGGTTTGGGTTTAGTTGTGGACAAACTAAGAGAATTTTTCTTTCTGGTGGGCCTAAAACAACAGCTTGGTTTCATTTTAATGAGCAAAGATTGCTTTGAACTGGTTTGCACTGTTTTTCAGGCTACTGAGGGCTGCATTTAACTGGCATCTGTGTTCACTCAGCACCACCAAAGGCATCTTTACACCAGTAGCTCGCCTCGCCACGTGACTCAAGCCTGTTCAGCCTGATTATTGTTCTGATTCATTTTCTGCTGTGGTTGCTTTTGTCTTTGCGATGAAAACCAGAAGCAGCACAACCCCAGTGGTCATACAAACAAGGCTAAAGAAGCAAGTCAGTGTAGCAGCGAGGTTCATTAAATACTTGCTATCTTTCTGGTCACTCTAATTAACTGCAGCTCTTGTCAGATGTGAATTAGTGCATGGATGGTTGTTGATTAGGATTAGACATAAATTTTACCCCTGGGTATTCTGTCAGGGTTTTGTTTTTACAGGTAAGTAGCTGGAAGATCATAGAACTGAAGTTGTTTGGCAATTAAATGTCCCACAAAGTTATTGCTAAGCGTGGAGTGCTGTGAAGTACCTGAGGCCAGTGATAAAGAATCACTTTATGAAGAATAAGATAAAAGAATAAAAAAATATAAAGAATAAAGATAAATAAGAATAAAAGATAAAGAATAAACATCTCTAATTTGGTGTAGCTTATAGGAATGGAAACCCTGAACAAAGATGTCTGGGATACGTTGGCATCTGTGTGATTTCCTGTAGAGTAACTGGAGTTTGCTCTTCTATTTCTCCACCTCTTGAAGGCCCTGCAAGCAGTAGTATCTTCTAGAAAATCAGTCCTGTGGCAGCTCCAAATGACCTTTTTTTTTTTTCTTTTTTCTTCTCTGCAGTTATCTGTTTCACTACATCTGCCAGGACAGGATTATATACCTCTGCATCACAGATGATGTAAGTATTTTGGTTCCAGCTATTGCACAGACAGGCTTCTTGCAGGTTTTGGCTTTTTTTTTGTATCTTTATGTCAAAGCAAATCAATAGTGGGTACTCATCTGAGGTGCCTTTTTTCCCAGTGGCACTACTACTTGTGTTCTCGTTCACATCACTTACAGCTTTGAAGTCTAAGCCTGGAACTCAATGTGAATAGTTAGTTTTGAGGTGAAGTCCTTGTTTTTGCCTAGTTTCTCTCTTAGCAGCCCCAGTGCAGTAGAATCTAGATGTAGAGGCTGGCCTTTGTCAATGAAATATGTGTAAATACTTCTCAATTCTGGAAATGTTGAAGCAGAAACTTCTCCCTCACTGGAAAAAGATACCAGGCACAGAAGTAGAAATGTGAGTGTCCCAGTAAAGTCTGCTGCCAACCAGTGTCTGGGATGCTGAGACTGAAATATGGCTGCTGTTCAGTGCCAGGATAACCAGTCAGATCCCACAGTGTGAGGTGCAGTGTACCTGTCAGGAGCTGGGAATTAGAGTTTCTCTACAGCTGGCCCCGTGCCCTGTGTACACCTCATTGCCCCTGACTTGACACAGCTCTGGATGTTGTCTGCTCTCTTCTTTCCAGGACTTTGAACGATCCAGAGCCTTCAACTTCCTGAATGAAATCAAGAAGAGGTTTCAGACCACGTACGGCTCAAGAGCACAGACAGCTCTTCCCTATGCAATGAACAGCGAGTTCTCAAGTGTCTTAGCTGCACAGCTGGTGAGATCTCTTGCTAAATGAGATTTCCCCAACAAACCAAACCTCTTCCCAGAAAGTTTCCTTGTGTTTTCTCACTCGGGACTGAAGCACCGTGCTGAGTCTGGGTATAAAGCCAGGGGAGTTGGCTGTTCCCCCCATGCTTACCCTGTAGCTGAGTTGCTTTGCTACTTCAGTGGTAAAAATGGGTTGGGGTTAGTAGTGATGCATTGACTGTTTGTACAAGGTTGGAGATTAGATCTGAACGTTGGGAATATCAAACCTAGTTCCAGTTGACCATCCAGTGCAAGCTAACATCACTGTCAGGAGCAAGAGAAATGCATGTTACTCTCTTTCTATTCAACTAAACTTCAGATCTTGAGTATCTAGCAAACCCAAACTGCCTCTCACTTCTCCCCTTCTTATTTACATGGCAATTTCAGTGGCATACTGCTGGAGCATTTGCTTATGGTACCATGTCCTCTTCAGGAGGAGAGAAAACTGGGCTTGGATTACAGTCAAGTGCTGTATGCAGAATCACGGTGGACTCTCCAGTGAGCTTGCACAGAGGCTCCAGGAATTTCTGTTCCCAAGATGGATAGGAGGTTAAAGAACAGGATATATGACTTGAGAAAGGTCCCACATTCTCTGAGTTGAGATTTGCCTTGAACCCTTCCAAATCCAAAATGGAAAGTGTGAGGGTGTTACAGAAGTGAGGGGAATATCTATTTCACCATCAACTTCCACTTTCCAGCAGAGGCTCTAGTGGTGTTTAGGACAATGCTGGATTCCAAATCTAGGGGCTGTAGGCACTGTGGTCTTTGGAAGCTGAGCTGCTCCACTAATGTGATTCCAGTCTGGAAGGAAGATGAAGCCCATGTCAGTGGGGTGCATGTCAGGCACTGAACAGCAGCAGGTGAAGGGCTGTGGCACAGCCAGCCTTGGCACGGCGCGGTGGGGAAAGCTGCTGTCAGGGACCTGCCTGCAGCAGAAGGTATCTTCTTGCTCACTTCTCCAGTGGTGCCAGTGCCAGGTGAGAGCTCGGTGTGCTGGTGGGATTGTGGTGGCACCCCTCTCTCATGGTGGGAGAAGGGAGCAGCCTGTCCCAGCTTCACCACTGGCAGCACTGGCGTCGTGCTTTCAGTTGCTGGAACTGGATGGCACCGCTGCCCTGCTGTGTTCTGGCTTGTGCTGTCTGGTTTGATTGGCCCTGGTGACAGCTCAGCTGTTGTCTTTCAGGCTCATACAGAATGCTGGCAATATTTTTAGGAAATTTCCAGGTTTTAGAAGACTCAATCTAGCTACTCAGACTCCTGAAGGGAAAGGTTGGGCTGGAATCCGCTCCCCTCTCAAAGCACAGGAGTGATGTGCTTATTTTGCTTCCCACAGGAATCTGATACAGCCCTGATACTCCCATCCCATTTTCCCAAAAGCTCTTTGCTTGCTGTGGATTGTATTTGAGGTGCAGCAAAGCCCACAGCTGCCAGGCAGGAGAGGTTTGAAGTAGCTGTATTGCTTTATGTGCTTTATTCACAGCACTATATGGATATAGCTTCTGAAGTGTTGGCATTTCCCTTCAGTCCTCTATAGACTCTGAGCTGAATTTCACAGAACACTTTTTCTTAATGCAGCGTTGACTTGGGGTCTGCAAACAGCACCCCACCCCCTCAGTGGGGTTTTTTTTGTAGGGGAGAGGAGGAGAAAAAGCAGAGAGCAGATGCTGTAGGTGTGGGACTGAAAAGCAGCTCTGAAAAGATGAGCTGTTAACACAGAGGGAGTGTTGCAGTCTGCACTTCACTTCTCCCTGGTGTTTGCTCTGCAGTGAGAGATTTCCAGCACCTGCAGAGAAAACAGGCCTGGGGAAGCACAGCCCTGTTCCTAGATGTGATATCACATTAAATAACAAATTCAGATGGAAAATAGAGAAGGAATAAATAACTGCCCAGTGACTCATATGATCAATAGCTGCACAAAGCCTCAGGCTATACAGTCTGTGAGGAAAGTGGTTTGAATCTGCTATTGAAGACTCTTGAGTGTCCTTAATTGACTACAAACAACTTCATAACCTGAGCAATGTTGGTTTGGGGTGGTTTGTTCTTTTTTTTTTTTGTTTGAGCTGTCCCTAGAATTAAGGGTAAGATGTCCTTGGAATATTGGCTTTCAGAGCTTGGACACAATCTGTATCTGGGGCAACTACAACTGATGCTGTTCACGTGGTGTAGGAGGTTCTCAGTTTGCTGAGACTCTCAATTTTATTGAGCACGGTAG